AGAACCCTATTTTCACATAAAAATTCTCAATTATACTATTAATATCTCCATTCCATTTCTATATGTCATTGTATTCTTACTGTAAATTCAGATTAATTGCCCACTGACAAACACTAGCACCAGGAATATATGCATATATACATATGTGTGTATGCACACACACATCTGATACTAAGGACCACAAACGCCAAAAAGGACATTGCTAGAGACTTTCCATGGAAGACCTTATTGGTTTATTTCTTCATCTGAAACGATGTTTTTCAGAGTCAGATTAAAAAAAGGAATGGAAGTTTTTCTTCTGCTCATTTTCAGAAAAGCAAATTCAGTGTTATTTAGAAAGGTAACCATAATATAGAACAAATCCAGAAATTCTAGTCTGATCCATGCTTTTTTGCCATTTTGTTCTGTAGCATTAAGCATGTCTTAACTATGTTTCTTCTGTAAAATAACCCTAACTCTAAATTAACATAGAAAGGGAGGAAAAAGAGGGAATACATATTTTCTACTATTTCATTCCGTATATGCAAGAGCAACGTAAGTGCAAGTATTACAGAACAAGTAAAACTTTTTTAAAGTCTTAAGTCAGTATCATCAACTAACGACATCATCAGATGAACTAATTGTCATGTTAAGTGTATGCAGAACCAAGTAATTAAGTCATCCTAAGTAGTTACAATATTAAGGAAATGTGTAAAAACTATCTGTGGACATTTTTAGACTAGCCAAATTAATCATGTGGGATTTGATCTTGACTGGGCCTTCAAACCAGAAAAATCAAAACGGAATTTTACCAAAAGGCTTAAGAAATCCTGGATGCACAATTACCTAAAGAAAAAAAAAATGCAATAAACAATCTCTTCCTCCTTTATCCAAACTGATAATTTGGGCAAGGAAACACTATTTCAAAATATCTTCCTTCATACAGCTTAGAATTCAATAATAAAGTTTTTTAGAAGTTGTTTCTTTCCCAAAAAAAATAACGAGAGCTGAGTCTGGTTTTCCCTCTTCATTTTTGCAATAATATTGAATTTGTACAAAAATACCTTACTAGTGATAATAAGAAAGACTAAAGACCATAATGAAATTTCTTGAGACTTTGTAATAACTGTAGTATTTGTTTCTTAATAATCCCATTACTTTTTTTTTTAAACTAAAATATGTATATTGAAGGGGCATCTTAGGACATATTTCCCTCTTTCTTAAATGAAGTCATTTTGAGATCTGTATTAATAATAAGTGCTTGAAAATATGCTAGAAAAGAAGACAACCAGAAGCTTCTCTCATCACAGCTCCTAAGCATAAGTGGAAGAAGCTGCATTAGCCTACAAGCTCAATGCAGAGCACTGTGCTTCTCCCTGAATCTGGAAATGCAAAGGGAACATGCAAAAAATGCAGAAGGACAATGAAGTTTCAAGTCAAAGACTTCAAAGAAAATGCCAGGCTGCCTCTAAAACCACAGTCCCACCACCCAACGTGTACTCCTTATGATCGGGAAATACAGAAGCAAGGAAAAGACTTACTAGGAGGGATGTTGGGAGAGGCAGGGAGATAGATTAACATACGGTGAGCTTTCTCCCACCATCTTTCTCCTGAATTTGGTTTCAAAGCTTGCATGATGCTACAGGACACTGAACAGACACATTCATTTTCATCAGATGTCTCTCAATCATTTAACTAACTCTAGAGAATCTGTCTTCATCCTGCCTCTTCCTTAACCCTGACTGCTCTTCCCCAAAACCTTCTGTTAAACTCACCAACCATAGGCTTCGCTTTCACGTAATCCAACCTTTTTTTACTTTCTATTTTTTTTCTTTCAGTTCTAGTTCTCACTTCCCCAGTTAAACCTCTATTTACATTTTTTCCTCTAATTCCTGCTTAATTTTCCCTACCAGAGGATTCAATGTTTGAGCACCTTCTCATCCTCATATTTAAAAAATTCTTATTTCTGCCTATTCCAGCCTCTATTTTTCCCTTTTGCCACTGTTGAGTCCAAAACATAGTCCCTTTCTCTATTTGACCCCATAGTCTCTGATCTCTCCATTCTCACTCCTACACAGATCAGTTTAAAGTGGCACGCAAGGCAAAAAGTTAAGCCAAAATAGCTGCTTTTGAACAAATATAAGGAGCTATTGTGAAAAGTCTAAAGATACCGCGTTAAGGGAAAGGAGCAGAGGACAGCTTGAAATCCTTCTTTTTCTTTAATTCTGTGATAATAAATACTTGGCATCCCTAACTGCCTTACTTTGCTGCCTTAAGATTCACAGTGTGCTCATCAAGGCCCTCCTTTATTAACTCTATGTCCTGGAAAGAACTACTCTAATCTACTTCAAAGTTTCAATCATAAAGGAGAAAAGAATTGACTTTATGTTTTCATTAATTTTTAGTTGTTATTCCCTACCTAGACGGTACTGACCAATTCCAAAGCAAATGTAAACTTTGTCTGCAGACATATATACTATTCTTTTTTCAGTTCTGTGCAATTACACAAAATTCTACAGCGAGACCAGTGCACACTACCTATTTCCTCCTGCCATGTTTCCGTTCTGACTTAATAACATACCCAAATTCAACTGTATGGCTAGACACAGCTTCTCAAAGAAATGAACCAAGGCAAAATGAGGAAATTCTGCTTCTGAAGTAAAGAATTTAAGCACAAAGTAGATCCTTGCTATAAGGATCTACTATACAATATAAATAAACATACTATATAAGCAAACAAAAAAAGGGCAAAACAATTCACACAGATACAGGCTCCTCATGTTTTTCAAATTAAACCTCTACCAAGCTCAAATTACACTTTGCTGGATATCTGCACCCATTATGTCATAAGTAGTGATTTATTATTGGAGGATAATTTTAAATACTGGAATAGATGTAGGATGCAATTTATTTTCTATAAAACTACTTCTAGGAAAAAAAAGAAATAGGTAGAATTGATTTTGTCAGACCTGATACTTTTTCCTTATGCTATTATATTCCTGATACTTGCAAGTGAACACGGCACATTTTAGGAGAAGTTTAAGTTACAGAATCTGCATTCAGCTCTGGAAAGTCTGTTCTTGCTTGGCTCTCCAACAACCTTCAAGAGTTCAGAAATCACAAGATATGTCCACAAGGTATGTGAAGAATCTTAAAACATTTGTATAGGGTAGGCAAGTATTCCTACAGTTAAAAGTATATTGTTTCAAATTATATCTTGTTTTTTATTTCTAACTTGTATAGAATTTTATCAAATGAAAAATTGCATGCATTAACTTACTGCATTAACAACTCTACCAGAATTCTCATGAAAAGTACTCACACTTGTGCAGTATACTTCTGATAAAAAGAGAAAAAAATACAAAGAAAACCCAGCATGGCTACTTCCCAGCAACCAAATTAGCCTCCAATGAATTAGTAAAAGTTTTATGTATATATAAGGAAAAAAAGTCTCATCCACATTCATTAGCTGACAAAATGTTTACACTGTAATACACCTAAAAATCCTGAATTAGAAGAAGCTAGTGCAAAAAAAAAAAAAGAGTTGTAGTTCTATCTGATGGCTCTTAATACATCAGACTTACTATTTTCCAGGAACTGCTCCATATTAGCTCAGCCTGTTATTTGCATATTATTTAGTACAAACAGCAGACGGAGTTTTATCTATCAATATTAATGCCACTCTGCTTCAAGGGATCCTCCAAGCCATCAAGAAGAACTCCCTGTTGTTAAAGGCAACACATCACTGAAGCCCTTTTACAAATTAACCAAATTCCATTAAAAAAAAATGCATTTTCTTTAATAAAACCTTCTGGAGTTCACAAGCTTTGAAATACAATTACTCTAATTTTCAGGAACCTTCCTCTAACTTCATGATTAAGTTTGTAGACTGTTTATCTCCACTTATTTTGTTTCTAACACCTGCCTATAGCTTGAAGATTTGCTTTGTGTCTTAGCATTGTCTCTGCTCCTGTTCACCTCATCACCACCTCAGTCTTCTCCTATGAAGCCAGGCACTATTCCTAAACAAACAAACGAACAACAAAACATCCACACCTTAGTGTCTTCTCATAAAAAGTCATTCACCATACTGCCCATCAGCTTGGGCAGCCTGTCTACACAACTTCTCTACATCTTTTTTTTTTTCCTTGAACAAGTCACACCTGTACACAGTACAGCACATAAGGTTTCATCAAGGCATTCTAAAACAGCATTAGTGCCTTTCCTACTTGAAATAGCTCCAGATAAATCACAACACATCTCTTTGCCTTAGTTGTAGATACAACACTCAAACCCCACTGTAATCTACTGTTATCCGCCTGGGGAATTAAACAAGAAAACATCAATACAAAAGATGTAGAAGAGAAATGAGCAAAACCACTTTATAAAGGTCTGTTACAGCACACTGAAGGGAAATTATAATCCTGCAACATCCATTTCTGCAATGTTATATTCCATGATAGGCACTAAACGTCTGGTCAAGGTGGAGCGGAAGGGGAATAGGGAGGAAGTGGCAGACAGCAAGAAGAGGAAGAACAGCTAACTCTGTATCAGAACAACCACCAGCACAATCTGAGCTGGCTAAATCCCTTAGTACGTATGCACAGTGTAAATGTCTTCAGTATAAGCTGCCACAGTAAATACCATACAAGGAATGCAAAGAAAGCACCATGCTAGAGAAATTTTATACCTCAGTTACAATAACGTAACAGGATTACATGGAGAGAAAAAGCAAAGCAAAGCAAAGCAAGCTATAATCATATTTTAATGCATAAATTCCTTATTGCCATTTTTAGTTGACAAATATCTATTTCATAGCAAAACAAGATCATAGGAACAGCTGGGTGGAAGTTTTAAGCTCAAATGAACCAGCAGAACATGCTGAGAAGTCATCTCTCTGATTGCTTTTGAATGGCAGCACATGCAGATTTATTCTCTGCCATAAATTAGAACAATTATTTCTCTGTAGTTCAGTTTTTATTTCAGACAGTGAACCCTTGCACACATTTTTTAAAGGATATCTTCCCTTTCCTTGATGATAAGTTCATTCTGCTCCTCTAGCTGCCTGATCTTCTTCTCAAATGACTCCTGCTCAGCTTTCAGCCGCTCTTCTGTCACCTCCTTTTCTTCACTTACCCTGAAAAAAAAATGGAAAAAAAAACAAAGGCCCTGTCAGTGTGGAAAAATATATTATATGTACATGCACACTTTTTTTTTTGCCTTTTTTTTAAAAAAAAAAAAAAAAAACATATAATGCCTGACTTAGAACTCTGCTTTCCAGTTAAATGGATATCCTTAAATAGGAATTTTTCATATTGTTGACTTTATTACATTAGGCTGGAAGATGCATATGCCTTTATACAATAAGTATGTTTTCAGAGACACTGGTCTCACTAGAAAACACATACGTTAAAAGCCGCATGGAACTACAAAGCAAGGGTCTGAGTCCAAAAGTAGATTTGTACAAGCCGTTTCCCTGTAGCCATAATGCAGACCCTGAGATCTATTACAGCCTATGGCACAGACACAGAAAGCACAATTGGCAAAGCTTACGTGCCAAGACAGAAAAGACTTTTTTTTCCTCGTTCTTAGCCCCTAAGCAAACATGTCCTGGCACATTTACTGACCAAATATAAGTCCAAGAAAAGAACCATTTTTCTTGTTAGCTTTCTCCAAACAAAACAATTCGCCATTTATCAGGTTGCAAGTGTAAATTTTTGTTTTGTCTGGGCTGTGGCATCCTACATCTTGCTGCTTGGTGTAAATAATTGGATCAAGATTACAACGATCATTTATTCTGCATTTCAAGAGCAGGTTACAAAAACAGTTATTCTGGAATCGCGCAGGCAAGACCACCATAATGCAAGACAGAATCTCATATCTATGCTAAAATCATGGCTTAGAAATCATAGTTCTATACATGTAGTATCTACAAAAATGGTAAGTAACAAGCTCAGACTAACAAATACTGCTGCTTTGCACTTCGGCATTTCCTGTTATTAGAAGCTCTTAAAATGTAGCCTTAATGTTGATCAAACAGCTGCCACAACTTCGGTGATCAGAGAGCACAGCAGCAAGCTTCCAGAAAACTTTAAATCTTAAATTCCTTTAATGGAAACAATCCTACGGAAAGAGGAGAAGGGGAGAAAAATATGTGCATTGGACTATGCTTTCCATTTATCCCCTCAGACCCACTGACATTCTTAACAGAGAGAAACCCATCCAGGGACTCAACCATCCATTCGACGTCATGACTTTTCCCTTAGGAGGACACAGATGTGTTTTGACATTCCAGTGGAAAAAACATAATACAACAATTGGGTGAGCACTCTGGGGTAAGGTATGGACAGGTTATATCCTCTGCCTTTAAGATCAACCACAGCCCTTGCCAGTACAGCTCAAACTATATAAAGCTGGAAATGAATAATACTGAAACTCACTCTTTCTCTACAAACTTGGAGGCAGAAAAATAACATCTCGCATAGAATTAGATCCTACAAATTAAGGAAGTTTGAAAGTTCAGAAGAAGCTTAATTAGAAAATTTCTCAGTTGCACAAAAAGCCACAGCTTTTAAAAGGCAGCAATCATCTATCCTTATTTCCCACATGGCGTTACAGGTACAAATGCCAGAAGTTGCATACACAGGTTTTTATAGCTAACCAATACCAGTTGGTTATCTCTGAATCTGGAGCTATAAGCTATGTGGCTACAGCATATATGGCCTACCCTCATATATAATCAGTGAAGAATCATAGAAGGTTTCCTGCTTCCTAAAGGAAAAAAAGTAGTAAAGAAAAAAGGATAAGAGCCATTAACTAGAAAATACAATGAAAATAGTAATGACTGCACAGATGAAAGATGGGAAGGAAGCAAGAACAGCAGGGAAAAAAATAATCAGAATAGAGGGAACAAGTCATGTCTCCAGGCACTACACAAGAAAGGATGCTTGCTCACTAACTGCAGGAGTGATGTTGCATTAGAGGAACATTCAGGACAAGTGCAACACTGGGCTGGATTGCTGCCTCAGAATATTAAAATCGAAGAAAATATACCTTAAGAAATAACGGAGCGCTAAAGGCACTACACAAAACCTAGCAGGCCTTGCTAGGCCATCTCTAGATTCTGTCACTTGCTATTTGCCTCAGTCTGCATTGCAATCACGTGCTGAACTCATACTCAACCAGGACTACAGCAAGTTGTCATATTCCCAGGCACATGAATATACTGTATCACATATCTTATGCAGTAAATGACTGAGAACAGTAAACGATCTTGGAAGAACCGTGGCAATGTGTGGCTTCCGTGGCACGGAAGAACCATGCTTATGTATCATAAAGTAGGAGACAGCCCAGAGAGGGCAGGCAGTTAGAAGACTGTTATTGTTATCCATAGGAGGTGACAAAAGGAAGTTAAAGAAAAAGAACATGACATCATCAGATTATGCTGGATCTATGTCACAACCAGGACAGAGCTCAGGGAGAAGGGAGTTGTTGTTTGCTTTCTGTATATAGACATATACTTACTTCTTAGCCTTCTGGCAATAAAGAACATAAACTTTTTTGTACAACTAGGAAACACTTAATTGCTGCCAAGAAGAATTATTACATGGCTCACAAGGCTCTCTATCAGCTCAAGATCAGAAAAGAGCAGTAAAAAGGAAAATACCCCAACTACAGAAGATGCAACTCCCTCACTGGGCAAGGCTTCTGTGCGTGGCTCCACTGTCACTCTCCACAGAAAAATGGAAGGCTGACTGCTAAGAGCAAGCTGACAAATCAGTAAAACTGGGTCTGCTCTTCAGCATCTGCAACGTTTCCTTGCACACCATGTACACATAGCTGTCTCACTGCACACACCATCTCTGTTCCAAATTCACTATACTATATCCAAATTCACTTACAAGATTGGGTAATTGTAAATTAATTTAAAGGTCTTAATTTTATTTAACAGAAGCTTCTGCAGAGAAAGAAAAATTCATGATGCAGATATCACAGAAAACTCTCCTGTGACACCAACCTTTGGGCTCGAATGCATTATCAGTTGCACTCGTTATGGGGTTCTCCTAAGCACACTACTGCTACAGTCATTGTAACTGCATGATCTGAAGGACTTCACGGTCAGGCTGGCTTGATGACACTAAGTCGCTCCAAGTAATAAGCAGATGGATGCTCTCCAGGTACCATTCTTGAAGCCCTGAACAGATCAACAGCACTTGAAGTTATCTGTAATGAAAAACTGCCATGCACAAGAAGTAGCTATCATATGATCCACATGAACCACCATGGTTTATGCAAGGCATAAAACCTCAAAAGAAAGTCAAGCCTGAAAGACCTTAAAAACTTTACAAAATGAGTTTGTACTGATACAAATATATTTTACCTGATAAAGGAATAAAAAAATAACAATTTTGACTTTTGAAAAAACAGCAGCAAAAATGATCTTTTAACAAGTGAAAACAAAATTCAATGGGAACTGTGGCTGAACAAGTTGAGAGAGAGAAGGAGATGAAAGGAAAAGGTCTCATACCGGAGTCGATCCACACATGCTTCTGACAAAAAGGGGCAATAAAATGACATTTAACACTGGAACTGTAGGGAGGACAGTGTACATTTCTTGATCAAGTATGCTTTGCATAAATCTGATATGCTTTACCCAAATGTCACAGGCAGTCTATATAAATAATAATAAAAAAGATAAAAGCTCCAACAATCATAGGGCATAACTGAAAATGCTGCACAATGGATAAATTTTATAATAGGCAGCTTGCAAAGTAATATAAAACAAGATCTCACAGCACAAATGACTTAAGTACAAAAGGTAGGTGTGATTGGTGATGCAATAATTCTAGGCATGTTTTACCTATCAATGAGTAGTAATTTCCCAACAAGCCTAGGGACATCTCATTTGCAGTGTCACTGCCTGGCCAATTAACAGAACTACAGCACAATATTGTGTCCCAAAGAAGCGCGTGTGCAATACACACACGGACATTTACATCGATGTTAAAAAACAGGTAACAATATGGTTAAATATGAGATGGGATGACCCTGGAGAGAATACAGTCCAAGAAACTAAGACCTGCAGATTTGTAAAATAGATTTCCACAAGCAGGTTGTCCTTCAAAGAGTCTAAGTGCTGGTAGGAAAACACCCCACAGACACACACTCCAATTGTTTTACTGTTTTCATTTGTAATGACTTCCCTATTCCGTAATCACGGCAAACTTTCTTTTTTATTCTAGTTCTCATCTGTTGTCAGAAAATTTCAGTTTTAAATCGTCAAGTTCATATCAGTACCAGCCAAAAACATTTGCAAAAGCCGTCCTGGTAGGCAGGCTCAGAGACTGCCAGCAGCCTAGGAACAGATTTGGAATCCAAGGTCTTGGGAAGTAGGAAGCATTTTCTCAACTAGAAGCAAAGAACCATCAGAAGGTTGTTCTGGAAGCTGTCAAGTACATGTCATCCTGGACAGGCACTGGTCTGTCTTTAGTCTGATAGCAAAAAAAAAAAACACCTTGCATCTCATTTTGAAAAGGACAAGCACTCCCTCCTTTAGGTGAAAACAGGCATCATCGTACCTTTCAACCCAATTTCCTTTTGAAGATTTGCCAAGATGACATGAAGCTGGATTTCTCCGAGTACTCCTTCTTACTTAAGAGAAGTTAAAGTTAGATACCAATTCTCATCACTAATAGCAGGACAGTTCATGAAAATTTCTTATATTACTTGTCTCCATTCAAGAGAAATTTGAACACCCAAGCTGTAGCTTAACTGTGCAAGGAAGGAAGAAGCATCCATGAGGTACATGCCATAGCAAGAGCCAGAAAGTAACACCACCATAGCTATATATCACAGTTGGGAGTCAAAGCATATGTACATACAAACATATCCACACACTCCTTGCCAAGAAAGTTACAACCCTCACTGTTCAATTAAATGCTGAGGAGCAAAAGGGTCTCAAAATATGCATATAACTTAAAACATACTCTAGAGTACCTTATAACCACTCTCAGTATGGTGTTTGGCAATTTATTAGTGCACAGCAGCCAACTGGCTGGGTCCCAAGGGACCTTGCACTGCTCCCTGTTGGAAAAGCCTAATGTGTCCTGACACCAGCACAGAGAACAAGAGCAGAAATCTTTCAGTGTCCTCACCGTGTCACTGCTCATTTCATTACATAAGCTGATGACTGTTTCAGGAGTTTCCTGCTGTAACAAAAGTTCAGAGAAAGTCTCTCTCTTTTTTTTTTTTCTCCTCTTAAGACCACCCTACACATACGGTAATAATTAAAATCCTGGCTGACCACACTCAAAACTTTCCCATTTACAAACAAAGCACTTTAGAATGTGCTTATTATATCCAGGGATTGCACTACAAAACAAAAAATCTGAAAAGAATGTGCTGGCATAATCAAAGAAGAAAGTCTACAACATTCAAGTCTGAAGATTCAGCTTGTCTCAGAGGGAAGATGGACTAGATATATTCAGAGAAAATAAAATGTTTAGATTTATCGGTGGCAGCACAGAGCAAAAACTAAGATTATTTAGCCCAGAAAGGAGGATTAGAGAGGATACAGCTGAGTTCTTTCTTTCAAATCAGGCTCAAAATTCAATTTCATCAGTCCCTAACTGCTAATGAGATGCCAGCCACTGGATTGCTCAGCAGGAGTACATCACAGTCAAGCACAGGAACTGGATTTTTTCAAAAGAGAAGATAATAATATTGGTAGCATTAGAATTTACTCACTCCAAGGCAGTCTCACACCGGCGTATTAGCTTATGTACAGGTACATACTTTATCGATGTTCAAAACTACATTGGAAATGAGAGTTGAAAGACAGAAAAAATAGGAAGGGAAAGGAAAGTACATTACCTATCCTTCAGCAATAACAAAAGTCAGAGGAAAGACCAACATCCTGCATGGCTCAAGAAAAACATGGCTGAAATTCAAGCCCTAGATGTTAGTCATATTTTGTCACTGGTTTCTATGCAAAGAATTTTACCACTTTACAGCTTCTTCAATGTAGTCCCAAATATTGACTATTTGCAATAAACGTGCAGGAATTAGTCTCAGCTACCATTATTTTCAATCAAGAACAGTAGCAAAATAAGGAACAGTAAAATATACCTCTAGTCAAGCAATATTTTTATTATTCCAAATATTTATTGCAGGACAATCTTCTAGAAAATTTTCAGCATTCAGCTGTTGTTATTTTCTTTTTCCTCTGAAACAGAATGCTCTACTGAATGCAAAAACCATCCGAAATTGCTCGACTAGACATGAAAATTACAAAAAGTTTCTAAAAAGTGACAAGGTGAGCAGAATAAAAGTTTAACTTCCTTATTACTCTGCAAAGGTCTTTTAATTACATCCAATAAAAGGATGATTAGGTTTAAAGATAAAAGAGAACTAAGCATAAAATAATAGTGTCCCACTAATTTTAGTTTTCAAAATTAATGTTGCCACACTTTCTATTTTCCTTTAAAGAAATGTCAGGCAAAAATATCAAGCTGTCCTCAGGGAAAAATCAGAGCATCTCAGATTTAAGAAGAATCCTATGCTCAAATGACTGAGTGTACTAGTATTCACTAGAGAGCAGTGTATTACGACGAACAATGTAATAAATGGTTCTTTTTAATATTAGAATATACCTCTAATGTATGAACAGTGACAGCAGTGTCCGAATAGCGTCAACATTTGACAATTTGCAGACTGGCTTCTAAGTAATCTAGTCTTTACAACGTCCTTAACTAGACATCTCCTAACACAGCAAGATAAAATAGAGCTTCAAGCATGAAGAATTTCAGAAGTGACTAAAATATTGTATAGCTAGAAAATCTATATTGATGTAAATTATTAGCAGGAAAATGGCCAGCAGAATGAGGTTAATCAAAGAGAAAATACTCATGGCTGCACCAATGACTTGTTCTATGACCTTGATAAGCAAGTACATTTCTCTGTCCTGATTTTCCAAGATAAAAGGGAAAAAAGAAAAAAAAAAAGAGTGGTATTACATGCCAGTTGACACAAAGCAGTTGTTCAGTAGCTTAGAAATTGTATTATGTTCCAGAAAAACTTCAACTATATAAATCCTTGGAATCTAATCGCATTTCACAAATTAGCATTCCTAAGTGCTGTGAAAAAAAAAAAAAAAAAAAAAAAAAACTACCATCGTCCCGTGTGCCTTTCCCAGCATTATAACCGTTACATAAGATGACTGCCAGGAACTTGGAAGGGTGAATCCCCACTCACATCCATCCTATCTTGCACGTCGTTCACCTTTGTGAATGCAAGTAGCACTGAAATGAAACTCAAATAACCAAATAACCTTTTTTTTTTTTTTTTTTTTTTAAAAAAGTTGAGACACTTCAGTCTCTCCTCTCAACGAACAGGGGAAACTCAGAATTAAACACAGCAAAATAAGTGAAGTTTGGCAAAGGAAATGAAAAAAATCACACTCCTCTATTGCTCTGCACAAGCATGGATAAACACAGAAAGCACACTTTTGCCACAAGATCCCTGATCCACCTGTAATGTGGAATTCCATATAAATATTCACTCTTGTCAAATAAGTCTGAGTTTTGTACCAACAACACTTGTGGTTTCAAAAAAACAACATATACTCACATACAGCAAACGAAACTCTAGCCCTGTAACTAGTTTTATATGGATGAACTACTGCAGGTCACAAAACAAGCTCTTGTTTTCATTTTGTTTTGGGGATTTTTTGATCAGGAAACAAGAAAAATTCATTTGGCCACTTCATTGCTCATACCTCATTCAGCAAGACAAAAGTTATCTTACACTAATATACAGCTCCATTATGCAGTTCTACATTGCTTCATGTTAATTAGAAGAATGACTCTCCTTCAATATAATGCATTTTCAAGTAATGCTTATTCTCACCTGGCAAGTTCTTTAATTAAGTTTGCAATGCGTCTCTTGTCCTCAGGACATAAATCCTTCAAAGAAGCACTCTTCATTCCTCCATCATTAGTGACCTGAGAATTGAAATCCACATTTTAGATAGTGTTTTTTGAAGTAGAACAAGCATTTCATAAGATATTAAAGGTATTTCAGAACCTAATAATTAGAAGCTTAAGTTATATAAATGCCAACTAAAAATAAAGTGCATATTTCCTAGCTGTAAGTACAGCTCAGCGAAACAAGTTACCAAATTAGGAAGAACTCCTCTAAGAGGCTTGTAAACCAAATGCAAGTTGCTTGCTTCGATACTAAACATGTTAAGTTAATTTTCAAGACCTATGTCATTCACTGCTTCATACTTAATAAAATGTAACTGCTACTTCTGAATTGGAAATCTAGTGTAGAGATATCCAGTCCAGAATCAGAACTTTAGTATATTGAGATCCAAAAACACAGAGCAAAACAAAACATTTTGCCTTAGTGTTCATGAAAAACATACAAAACAGCAAAAAAAGAAATACAATATATTATTAGTAGAAGATAAATCTTCAAGTCAAAAGAGTTTTTAATACAGGAAGCGACACAGCCTTTTTTTATTGCATTGTTTAGTCACTTGCCCTTTTGAGAGGGAGAAGTAGTTTTAAAAATATTTCAGCACTTGAGTTTTTTCATGCATTCCTTTAGCACACTGAAATCTACAACATTTGTTATCAATGTCCACCAGAGGGCATACTATAGCTCATGTTTGCAACAGTCCCTTGTATTATAACAGTTGTCATTACCTATTTTGGATGTTTCAAAGCAGAAGTACTGCTTAGCTTTAAATCTCTTTGATTTACCAAAACCAACTGTAGGTCAGTGACTCAGTAATCTAGTGCTAGTGATATACACAAAAGACTCTCAAGATAAAAGGAACAAAATAATAGTGCTAGTCTGCCCAAGATTTCAGTGAATTTAAATATTTCCACTTAATCTGATTTGTTTATCTTTAGTTTAGATACTTTAAAGCCTATAAACGTCTCTGAGGGCATACGGTGCATAGTGCAGGATAGCAGAATGCTGCTCCAAAAGCACGGCACAACTTCAACAAGTTCACACAACACAGCACAGAATAACCCCCAACCACACAAGCAAACTTCGTGCTCCTCTCCCTTCATTACCAGGAATGGCAGTTGATCTATGCACATCAGAGAAGAGGCACCCTCTTCCATTCTGAGCTAATTGCTTCTCCAACAGTGGCTTAAAACAATTAAGTGACTATGCAGTTTTTGAAAGACAAAAGGAATGATTTTATACAGAAGGATGTTACACCCACATGGCCCTTCAGTACACACTCCTCCCCCTTAAAACAGAAACAAAAAATATTTGGAAAACAAGTTTCACAAGGCAAATTAAACTTCTTCAATGCTTTTCAAGGTGCCATCTTCTTCCACAGCTTCCTGCCCAAACATACATTATTTGCAGTCATAAATATGATAAAGAAATTTATCATATTACTTCAACTAAACATTTAGTTGAAGGTTTGTTTCCCAGTCTAAAAACAGTTGAAACTGTTTTTAGCAGATAGCTGAAAGAACTTCTTTAAAAGTCACTTTTAACTCACAAAAAAATGAGAAGTTGGAAGCTTTTACTGAGGCAGACTCAGATTCCTCAAGCCATTCCCACAAACCATATACATATTCTCAAGGAGATTTGCAGGGTAAAGAAGAAAATTTGAAAGGATAGTCTGTGCTTTTCATGTATTGCCCACAGGTACTGACAAATGGCACTCACAAATTCTGAGGCATGTTTGTACAACTGCACCTATAAAAAAGGATCTGTGAAATGATGCAGTTACAGCTCCATTGCAAAACTCACAGTAAGCAAGACAGAGGCCACGACTATAATTTGTCCAGATTTCTGTACTTTCTACACAGCTCCCTATCTCAGAAGTTTTCTAGATGAAACATCCTATATAAGTGGAAAATATATTCCACTTTTATTCCACACCCTGGAAGACAACAACATAGGTGGACGAAGGCAACTTCTGTCAAATAAGAAGGAGGAAAATGGAAAACTACGGCCAAGAACATAGCAAACCACTGATTTATTAGAAGTGGCAGAAAAGCTCCAGAGCCAAAAGCTAGCAATACCTTTTCGAAATCTTCCCAACAACTCTCTTAAACTCCTAGGTAGTACTCAAGTCTAACCGAATAAGGAAAAGGTAAATCAGTTTTGCTAGAATTCATATGAGAGTGAGATACAATCCCTTCTCTTCAAGAGAGGATTCTGGTAAATCACACCAGCAAGCTATCTAGCAGTACAACAGAGTAGTTTATCAGAATAAAATAATCAGCTATCCCTGGAAGGTCTATTAATACACCTGAAGAGAATGAGTTTTGGTCATCAAAACTCCTCGTGAAAAAAGCTTTAAGAAACTTTGCTCTTCTGTAGCAAGCAAAACTTACTTGCTCTCTTTGCTCCAACTAATTCAGAGTTTTCCTTCAAAATAAACGTGCAAAGTTTTCATGAGGTTTTTGTAAGGTGAGAAAAAAAAAAGAGGATTTAAAAAACACAGAAAAGAGAAAAGGTAAGTTGGAATCCATTTTATTAACAGTCTTATAAAAGTACACCCAAATCTCAAATGAACATCTAGTGTCTTAGGCTTTGTATAAAAAGAACAAAGAATGGAAAAAGGAAAAAATATTTTCTGAACAAGTAATACACGTATACCAGCTAATCACTGACGTATCTTCCACACGATATAATAAGAAGATTTTCAAGTGAAATCTGAAGGCAGCTATAAAGCAGGGGCCTTGCAGATGTTTATGAAGAGATGCTTCTATACAAAGATTCTGCATAATGCAGGTTACTCATGAAACTTCCCAACACGTCAGTGAAGAACAGCATTATTTGCAAAATGGAGGTACCTCACCAACCTCCTAAAAACAAGTACTGAAAGACAGAGTAACAGAAATGAAGACGACTGGTAAAGTCTTTAAATATGAACACTAGTTACTAGACTGTCATGCTGTGGAGAGCTACTAAAACAACAACAAGGATGCTGTCAGATCCAATTCTGCCTCAGTTTTGGATGAGCACACAAGGCAACATGGCATTTACGCAGAAGACAGAAGAATATCTTCACCAAGATGACAACAATTAACAATAATGTTAATAATGATGTTAATAATTAACAATGAACAATAATTAATTGCATAATAGTGTAACAGCCTCTTTTCAGTGGTGGCCACCAACAGAACTAGAGGTAATGGCCACAAACTGAAATACAAAAAGTTCCACAGGAACTTAAGGAAAAATTTCTTTACAGTGAGGGTGACAGAGCACTGGAACAGGCTGCCCAGAGAGGTTGTGGAGTCTCCTTCTCTGGAGATCTTCCAAACCCACTTGGACGCAGTCCTGTGCCACGTGCTCTAGGTGACCCTGCGTGTGCAGGGGGGTTGGACTAGATGATCTCTAGAGGTCCCTTCCAACCTTAAGCATTCTATGATTCTATGAAAGCTTCAGAGACTGCTTTGAAGCATAAAGATACCAAATCTTATTGACCTATTACTGCAATGCTCAAGATTACTACTACACAGAGGTCTTAGGAGTATTTCGAAGACTTGGATAGTCAATGTGCTATCCAACTCACATTACAAAGAGAGCCTCTTTCAAGAGATTCCTAAATATTACAAGATCTACCAGAACACAGAACTACCTTCCAAAGGAAACATCACTGCTTTGAAACTTCCAATGCAATAAACAGTAGCAAAATCATCACTTGTTCCAGGCACAGACCAGACAATCTACTAAAGAGAACCAATGATAACATCAACTGACAGTTACTCTGATCTCCAAGCTACATTTTAACATTAATTGTCAAACATGGAAAGTTATTTTTATGTTAGTAACACAAGTGACCACAGCAAAAAGGTCTGAGAAAACTTTTTCAAGACCTGTTTCTAAGACATACAATTAGGACAGTGAGACGGAACAGACTGAAACACTCATTCCTCTGTCTTCAAGTAACCTTGTTCTGGAGCTGCTCAGAGCTATTCTATCTACATATCTACCGATCCATTTTTTTATATAGCATCAGTTCTAAGTCACTTAAATAAATTCGTCTTTTAACCTTTGCTTGCTTGGCAGGTCATTTCAGTAGCGAAGTAATTTTTGCCAGCAAAACACCATGTCAAAAAAATGGCAAAAAAAAAAGAAAGTTTGCAAGAACGGTTGCATTGTAAGATTGTTTAGCAGTTTTCAATCTGTCAGTTTTTACTATGCACGCTCTTTAGAAGAAAGATTAGCATATACTAACCTGCGGCACTGTCATATCTCCAGTGCTTTTACCAGGATCCATAGAAACAGAAGCAGCAGCTACAGGCACAGTTAGGTTAGGTTCACTTTTCTGATATTTTGGCAAATATCTTGTTCTTAAGTTTCCTTTGGCAGACATTCCTGTAGATTGAAGAAAAAAAATAAAATTATGAAGTCAAAATAGACCCTTATCTTTCCTCCTACAATAGGACATCAAAAAATTCATTCTTGCTTGCGCAGCTTTTTCTAGAAGAATGAGAATTTTGTTTGAAATTCACCACAGCCTCAGACTCCAATATGATGACTATATGATGAATATATCAGCAAAAAAAAAAAAAAGGTACATGCCATAGGTCTGCATCCACCCACATGCACATCAAAGTGAACTCTGCAAACGTACTTCTTGTTTTTCATCTGAGTTTTAATGCATTTCTTTCAAGCGCAAAAGCACAAGCCAGAGCTTCTGCTTTGACACGCTTGAAGACTAAACAGGAACCAGAAATAATGCTGAGATCAGTGTTACTCATACAATATCTTTTTTCCTTAATATGGCAAACCTACTGATTGCTCAGACTAATTTCTTGTTCCTTGCAGAACCAGGCATATGAGTAAGTCTGTAAGTGCACAGACCTTCTGCAAAAAGCTGTCATAACTAGTATTAGCTCAGATGCACTGACTCATAAGCAGCACCAAGATTTTCAGGGCTCTTTTATAAAAGTGTCAACACTCACACTGACAAGGCCTTCCAAGGCCAGATTAAAGCCAGAATCTTCCTGATACAGCCTCAAGCAGCAAGTCTTGACTCTTCAGAGCTGCCAAGAGTTTTAAAAAATATACCCTGAATTTATACAAGAAAAGAGAATACATTTATTTGTGTAATGAAGTTTAGAAGTGTGTCAGCAATTCAAGTGAAGAACTAAGTTGTAAGCTTTATGATCTCTACACCCTACACAAGAAAAACAATATAGTTGAAATTCTCCTCACATATACAGGAGTGGAAGAATATTTCCTCAAGTAAATTAATTTGCATCCTTTAGGACCATTGCTTTCTTACCAGAACATAGAGTATAATGATCTGACATCAGCTGACTTGAACTATGCTAGCTACAAAACTCCTTCAGAGACTTTTAACAGAGCTATATTGCCAGTGGAGCAATAGTCTATGAATGGCATTTTTGAAGGGTAACTATGCTACTCCAAACAGACAGCAAGATTTCTCAAAGTTTATAACTGTTGGACATGTGGGCATGTAATGTATAGCACATGTTTTTGCTGAATCTAATGTTACTTTAAAAGTTGTCCTCTATGCTTGAAAACAATTAGAAAATTCTGCAGAAGGGAGCCTGAGAACACCAATCTTCTCCCCAGGAATGCACACAAGAATGCATAATTTCAGGTCACAAGAACAATTTCCATTTTATTTTAAACAATGAATCTTCATTTTAACTCTTCTCCTCAAAGCTTATAGGAGAGCTGAACACGTCTAACACTTCAAAATACTTTGGAGACCACATAAAAAATTCAGCTTACCTCGCAGACTGGATGGAACTATGCTGTACTTGTCATAGAGACAAGTCCCCTGAAACTGTTCATCTCATACTGTACGTTTAGTTAAGTAGCCAAACATAAATCCTCTGCTGTAATCCTCAATGTCCCATTACAAGTTAAAGCACTTCTGATGACTCTGTACTTCAGACAGAAGTACACAAACCACATACCTGAAAAGGCACTGCAAAGTTTAGCATTCACAGCAAAAAGCGCTTTCTTCCTAATATAATGTCATACCTGAAATATATACCATGGGCTGCTCATCTTCAGAAACTGCATGTAACTTGATTAAAGAAAGTAAACAAGAAGCATAACTTTGGCCCTTTAAATAAAAATACAAAAATAAGCACTTTGGCCCTTAATTTAAAAAAAAGCAGGCTAGGAAAACAAACTTGCCACACCAGAGAGGCACCAAGAGCAAGAAAAACTTGAAATAAAAAATAAACAAATAAATAGAAAAAAAGAAGAATGACAAATGGTCTTATTAACTTCTTCATTATGTGTTAACTTTCATCCATCTTCAGGTCACCTTCACAAAAGGTACCAGGGACCAGCCCCAGGTGCAAGTCCAGTTACTAAGATAATGAAGCAATATTTATTTAAATTAGAGCAGGTTATCATTACATAAGGAGTCCCTTGATACGTTTCCATGTATCCCTTGACAAACTTCGAGGACAGCTTATATTCATGCTGCTATTAAATACTTTCTGTATAGTACGTTCTAAGAAACATAAATGAGAATAAATGCAAAAGACTTCAAAAGAAGTTGGTCAGTCTCATCTGATCATCACATGACGAGTAACAGCTGAAAGCCTAGGGACTTTTTCCTTTAACACGAGCAGAATCTGTTCTGAGGCAATTGCAAAGAAAAGCACTTCAAAAAAAAATCAGTAACCTAGAGTTTAAACTATTACTTCATTGCATCAGACTCTCAAAAGCACAAAGAACCAGGCAGCACGTCACCAAACTTGAATGCCTCCCTCCTAAAAGTCACTCTAAATCAGACTCAACACAATTCACACAATTCAAGGAAGGGTGGAGCTTTCATAGTATCTTCCTTAAAGCAATAGTTTCAAATGGACAAAAGTAAAGATTTTTTTTTATGCCCACATTCTACTAAACCAAGAAACCAACACAATACATCAATTTTGCCTCCTTTGTATTTTGTTTATGCCTCTGTTTTGTATATCCTCTGTGTTTTGCTTATATTTTGCTTATTTTTCTCAGCCTTCTCAGAGTGGTCTACAAGTTCAATTACATAATTTCTGTTCTGTTGACAGTAAATCCATTTAAGATTTTACATAGTTATTTTCATCCAAGTAATGTTTGGTTGCATAAACATTTGAGCTGACTTATACCAATCACTTCCCCAAACCCTCATTTCAACTAATATTTTATTTTAATAGCTACACTTTGAAAACTTCATTTAGTAAGTTACCACACAGAGGACAAAATCAGCAACAGTCTGGAAGCTTTCACCTCTTGACAGCAACTTCAAATTCAATCAATACCAGTATCTATCAGAAAACTGCCACTTAGCACACTGGAAATAAAAGCTCGATCACAGGCTTGCTTGAGATCATGATGTCTCCACATTATTAGCTCTTAACAGTCATCACTCACCAGTCTTAGTCCACAGTTTGAAAATACCTTTATGTGGGATTTCTGTCAAAGTCATTTATCCTTCTACGCACTGTGAAACTACTTCTGATCTCACCTAAAAACTGCAGCATGCAGTTTCTCTCAACTGGTTGCAAAAAAGTGTTTATGGGGTCACCCTATGAACCTGATCCTGAAGCTGGAAAACCTGCAAAAGTAAAACACTGCACCCTCTTTCTCCCCAAAAAGCAACAAGACAGACTGAACCCCCAGTCTGGATCACAGCTCAGCCCAGCCGGCTGTGTCACCACAATTGTGGCAGCAACCCTCAGGATGCACAAGAATATCTGCAATTCTTACTACCACCAGAAACAACAATCTTTAGCACCAGCGATAACTTTCTCAACTGGCATATGGCTAATTTGTGTTGAAACACATGTCTGTGAAAAATAAACCAGATTTGCTTAAACAACATTCAGCTTTCAAAGTCTGGCTCCACTATTACTGCTGCTGTCAATAGAAACCCAGTAGCAGGATTAAGAAATAGAGCTGTTGTTATTGCTCCCCTCTCCTAGCTACCTGGGCCTCTCTCCCATTAAGTTTTGCAACCTAGTGCATCAGAATAAACTAAAGTCAGATCAATACACACTTAACCAGCTAGGCTGAAAACTGCAGTGTCTCAGGAGCTGATTCATAAACAAGTCCGAATCCATGTCTCCAAGTAATAGACAGGGACAACACCAGCTTCAACCATTTAAGACTAATCCATTACCACATGCCTCAAGTCTGCTAGCAAGATGACTGCACACATTTAAAAAAAGTATTAAACATGCACAGCATTAAACACACACAGCATTAAAAAAGTATATCTTACGATTTACTTTTGCACCATATGCATATATATCAGGAGACATAAACTTTACCAAGATCAGAGGCAACAAAGATAAAATAAAAGTGTATGTCAAGTGTATGCCCTATTCCCTGGCATATCTTGAGGCACAGGGCCTCTGCTAGGCTCAAAACAGTGTGTTTAGTCATGGGAAACAACCTGCCGGCCCAGTTTTAATTGGGATAAACACAACTACAGCGTAACTATGCCAATATTTCCACAACAGGCCAGAACACTGACAGTGCAGCAAGAAATCTGATATGTGCTTACCCAACCTCATCCCATTACACTCAGAGAAAGTTGGATGCAATTTTTAAATACAAATGGGCAGTCTTCCAGGATTTGTAACAACGTGTCCCCCAAACACATTCCATTGGAGAGACAGCCCATTTCTCTCCTGCACTGGTTTACAGGGGGTTTGCAGTCAGGCACATACACATTAGCACATACAAACATGTGCTTCTCAGTCATTCTAGCTGATGCTGGAACTGCATTCCCAGTGTTGGGCAGAGTGACACCATGAGTGCCCTACAGCTACAGCTAAATCTTTAGCTCCAAAGTCTTTACCAGGCAGGACAGCTAGCCCCTAACACCTTCAAGTAGCTGAGCTTCCAGCTGAACCTCTTTCTGGTTCTTGGACCCAAGTGAGCCCATCTCTCTGGCCAGGCTTCTGCAGCTAACGACCACCACCTACTCCAGCTGCACATCCAGCCTAGTTTAGGCTCCCGCAATCAGCACTTCCACATTTCCTACAAACCAACTCTCTCTCTCAGAGGCCACGCCAGCCGCCAGGTCCCCTGCAGGCTCATCCCAGGACCTAAGCCTCTAAATCGGGCCTGGACTCCACCAAAAAAAGCCACGGACCTTTTACTTGCTGCCAGCAGCTCCAGCCTCAACTTCCGCACGTGTCTCCACAGACCCTTGAACAGGTTTCCACCGCCTGGACCCAGGTCCCCTTCACACTTACCTCCCCGTGCTCTCAGGACACGCACAGGCGGGACACCTCCCACCGCGGGCCGGAGACTTTGTCCCCGCAGCCCAGGTGGCTGAGCC